TACATAACTTACTTGCTTTATTTTAAAACAATGTCCAAATTGCAAAAATAATGTGTCAGTGTCAAATAAAAGTTCAGGCCATTGAGAAAACTATAAATGGAAAAATACCACCTTTCCTCTCTTTGCCCCAACAACTGGTACCACTCCTGTATATCCTTTCAGAAAAGCACACGTTATATACAAATGTATATACACCATGTTTATTACATGCAGTATATAATTATTGAAAGAACAGGTAATACCATACATAATGTTCTGTGCCTTGCTTTTTCCACAACACTATGTGTGGACAGCTGCCTTGAGAAAAACATCTCAAAACGCTTCTTTCATCAGCTGCACAAAAGTCCTTAATGGAAATGTTCCATAATTTAATCAGTCCCATTTGATGAGTATTGCAACTTATGCAACAAATGTTACTGTCTACATAATTAACATGTACTTCTGAAAGATAAAGTCCAATAATTGAAAATGCTGGATAAAAGGACAGGGTAGATACACTATACATTTTTTTCTAGGTATTAACAAATATACCACCAAGAAATATACAATCCTCCACACTCCTACTCTGTCCTATTAACGCATTTTAAAATTACAGTAGGCTACTACTGAACAAACCTCAAGTGGCAAAGCTTGCCAAAGAATCACAAAGTCTAAAGTGAGATTGGGAACTAGTATTTACCAAGTGCTTAAGTGTCAGAGACCACACTGGACCCTTTAGAATATCTCAATAATGGCTCAGCGCCTATAGCTCAACCGGCTAAGGCGCCAGCCACGTACACCTAAGGTGGCGGGTTCGAATCCCCAGCCCGGACCCGCCAAACAACAATGACGGCTGCAACCAAAAACTAGCCGGGCGTTGTGGCGGGCGCCTGTGGTCCCAGCTACTTGGGAGGTGGAGGCAGGAGACTCGCTTGAGCCCAGGAGTTGGAGGTTGCTGTGAGCTGTAAAGCCACGGCACTCTACCCAGGGGGACAGCTTGAGGCTCTGTCTCAAAAAAAAAAAAAAAAAAAGAATATCTCAATAATATAATAATCCTGTGAGGTGAGTAACATAATCTCCATTTTCCAAAAGAGACAACTAAGGCCCAGAGAGTTTATCCAGTGTTAGGCAATAATAAGTAACAGGACCAGCATTTAAACCCAGGGGTATCTGGTACCAAAGCAAGACCCTATGGAGCCATCCCAAACTGAGGCCAAAAGTAAGGAGGTCTTTTTTTAAAAGGGGGACTCCTGATCCCAGGAAGGAGGTGGTTCCAAAATATTGTCACATAGGCTCAAAAGTTAGTTCCATGTTACTGCAAAGAGCCATATTTTCCCCTTTCACGCTTTGCCTATGAGCCCCTCCTCAGGCTATGCTTAGCTGGATAGCTCCAACATAGCAATAAAGCGACAATGAGCCCACAACCCACAGAACCCAGACGGGCTGATCAATGTGTCCTTGAAAACTGATAGGTGAGGAGGAAGAGGAAGAAGTGAGAAGCAGGTGGTGGGCTCGCATGGCAGAGTCAGATATTTTGGACCTATATCAGTTGTCACGAAAACATTATGGGGGAAGTAGAACGACTGTACTCTGAAAGAGAACCACGGTCTGTTTATGCCACCCTTCCCTGCCCCAAACACTTTCTGTTTCTGTTGCACAGACATGTAGAGTACAATAACTTTAGGATGGCACTTCCTCACATAACAGAGCCAGACTGGACTACTGGGAACTCCCTAACTTAAGAAAACAGGTTAGACTGGTGGTAGGTAAGTGCCTTGCCCCACCACCCTGCAGCTCACATGGCAGGGTCTGGGGGCTGCTTTCAATCTCCTTACAGGGTAAAGTCTGTGGCTACCTCCCCTTGTAACCACCATGGTCTGCTGTCAGGGAGGAGTGCTTATAACTGTTCTTTGGTGGGTGGGGAAGTTCCTTTTTCTTTAAGCATTAAGTATTCCTAGTGTATCTCTTAATGTCCTTTGCACCCAGGCAAGCACTTATTATGGGATCTATTTAGCCTTCCTAATGTAACATCAACTACTCTCTGAGGATAACAGGATAAAAAGAAGGAAGGAGAGAGAGAGGAAGAAAAACTTCTTCTCCTTTCCCTATATTGTCTGCATCCCAGGCACAGGGCTCCAGAAGTTCCATAAGTCAATAACTGAAAGGTCACAAAAAATGATAACGTAATATGATTTAAATAGGAGGAAGTGAGCGTCAAATTGAGTGATTTAAGGAGCACCTTAAAATGCCATCACAAGAGACACAGAATGGAGGCATGGGCACACTCTCGGGTAATTCCACATTCATAGTTCAAAAATCAAAAGGCATAAAGAGTATAAGGTGATCCTTCCCTCCCACTCCTATTTCGCAGGCATCTAGCTCCTCTCCCCCCAGAAAGCAATGTTACAATCCATTGCATGTCCTTCCCGAGATATTTTATGACTATAGAAGCAAATATACATATATTTAAATATTAAAGATGTTCCTCTCAAGGAACCACTTAAATGTAAAAAGGTGGCAAGAAAAAATTTTCAAAATAAAGGGTTTTAAAATTCATAGTTAAACGCTTTCATTTATAAAAATTTACCAATATTTAAAAGTTAAATTGTTTCCTCCAGAATTCAGTTGGGGACTCCGGCATATACTGGAATGTTTCCTTAGGTCTTTTTGTCCTTTATTACTCAGAGCCAAGAGGACAATTACTCACTTCCTCTACTGATATCAAGAAATAAAATCTGATTCCTTATTACTAAAAAAGAGAAGTCCTGAAAAATGTGTACTGCATTCACTTAAGTGTCCAAAGATTTACTTGACTATAGTAATTATTTCACTATGTATAACAAAATATCACATTGTACATCTAAAATATGAACAATTTTTAAAAAGATTTTCAAACTAAATTTTTTATCAGAATCCCCATCACAATAGTATTCAGTATATAATGAATAATTAGCTAACCAAGTAACATTAGAATTAGATTTGGGGAGCCTTGAAACAGAAGACCAAATGTCCCTGAAAGAGAAAATGTTCTTCTTATGATTACAGACAATCCACATCAAAATATTAATATTTGACATAATCTAGGACATCACATATAATGTTGCCTTTTCTGAACAATCATTAATTAAACCAGATTTGTAGCATGATTGTTCACAAAGTATAACAGTACCCTGCAGCACAGGCCAAATGACGGAAAGACTAAGGTGAGTTTTAAAAGTACATATCAGCAAAGGAAAATTCCACTGTTGCTTTTAGGCCTTAAGATAAAGGTGATTGAGCTCCTAAGAACATGGAGTACTCTACAGAAAATACATTTTTAAATCCCATTTTCCATCCCTCGAACATGTATTTACATGAGTCTGCCAAATCTACCTCCTATTTCACATTGTCCTTTAAGGAATTCTGACTAGGGCCTATTAAGTAATATTTTCAAGGCTATCTGTACACATATAAAAGCAATCTTCATTAGCATCATGGTTCAGAGTCAAGCACCTAAAATGACCACATGCTTCAATTTTTCAATCTCTTATCTGTTCAGGAAACCTCCCAGCTTACCTGCAGGACTGGCATCAGTCATTTGTCACCAACTGACACAAAGCTCAGAATTCAACAACAGTCAGCTTCAAAGGCCAAGTCTGTGTTGAGAGCTCTAATTTGCAATAACCAAACTCAGTTCTGGACCTAGTCCTGTTTCAATTTAAGATGAATTTAGGCCACTACTTGAAAACTGGAGGGCTCTTGACAGTGCTTGCCCCTTACATGGTTTGTGTGAGAGGGCTGGATGGCCATGAGCCCTGGTTATCAACAACCAATTAAGAACCAATCGAAGCAAGGCCTAGGACCAAGGTTAATTTTCACATTAAAGATTAAGGTTTCTGCTTTCCATTGTCTATCACAGAACTCTGGATGGAAATTGAGTGGAGAGATCCCTCCAGTGTAAGTGCTAATGCAAAACGTTCCCTGTTGGATAGTCATGAAGTGGGCCTATTCCCATGAGGATGCCAAAGTCGGCTTTAACACAAATGACTTAAATTCAAAAAGAAAGAGAATACTTGGCTCCAGTTTGGAGTCATGGTGTGGGGGTGGGAGGCAGGGGATACAGAAGAGGAAGAGAGATAATTCAGATTATGGCTGGCATTCATGTAATAACAGGAGATTCGCACCAACCACTATGCATGTAAAACACTGTGTACCATTAGATCCTGAAAAGGATGGTGGCATCAGCCCACCCTTAACAAAAGATGGCTGACTACAGAATTAAGACCACTACTTTTCTTCTTCCTACGCTTAGAAATCTATCTCAAAGTCACTCCGTGTTACCCATCTTAGGAATACAAAAGCTCTTCTTTACTTGAGAAAGCAAACAATTGTATATAACTTCCCACTTGGGACATAAGAGCAGGAGGCGTGCCTGTCTCCAATGTAGGCCTGACATTCTGGGTCCCGGACCACTGTTCACCTTTCATAGCACTTCATGCTCTGACTTTATCATCAAGAACCCTGGGAACATAGACCTCAGAAGCTGACGCCCACCCATGCTGACCACGTACCATGTATCTGGTGTCCAAGAGGCACCCACAGCCCATACTCAAGCCGAAACAATTTGAACCCTCATCCTCACCCACTACTGTGGCGTGTCCAGTGGGGTGATGTGTCCCTCTAGGAAGTCACCCACCTCCAGTCCTCACATACACACCCACCCGAGCTGAACTGGGGAGGGGAGGGGGAGAGGACGATCTGTTGGGGAATGAGACAGAACAGAGGGACAGAACCGGGCCACCCCTGTGCCTTTCATTTTCCTGGGTTCCTGGTAATGAAACGTTGAGATGAAGTGGAATTCTTTTAACGATAGTAAAAAGCCAGAAAATGCAGACAGTTGACCTTGGGAACCAACACCATCTCAGCGGGAAACGTAAAAGAAACACGTTGGCAAGTGAAGCGGGAGAACGGCGCCGGGAGGAGCGCAACGGTCCGGCTGCCTAGGGATGTGGGGGACATTGGGCGCTGATAGGGGTGCTCACCATAAATCATGGCCAGCCCGGTCTCGTGCAGGAAGCGCACCCGGCGGTGCTTGAAAAGCCAGATGGTGAGGATGGTGAGAGTAAGCAGCAGGATGAAGGTGAGCAGGCTCACGCTGTCTTGCCGGTGGCTCTCCTCCGCCTCCTTCTCAGTGGCGAGCTCCTCCATGGCGCTGCTGTCCTCGGCCGCCGCCCCAGAGGAGGAGGCCGCGGCGGCGGCTCGCAGCCCCCGACCCAGCAGAAGCAGTAGCAGCAGCAGCAGCCACCGCGACAGCGCTGGGACACCCGGTCCCGAGCCAGGGCGCGCCGCGTCACCAGGCTCCATGGCCCCAGGACCGCCTGCGCCTCGTTCGCGTGGGGACCAGCAGCCCGCGCCGTCGGCGGGTTCTGGCCGCACAGCCGACCTGCCCAAGTGGCCGCGGCGCCGCAGCTCCTCCTCCTGCCGGTGCGGGGGCCGGGGCTGCGCAGGGAGCCGCGCGGGGGAGGGGCGCGCGCAGTGCGCAGGATCCCCAAGCACCGCCCCCCGCCCGCGCACCTGTTCGTCCCCCCGCCGAGCTGAGCGGCGCGCCTACTGGGCCACCGAGGCGGGGCCGGTTGTCGCCCTCGGACCGCAGGCCAGCCACAGGCCCATGGCCTCCTTGAGCTCCTAGCCCCTTCCGTGCGCACCTGGCCAGGCCGTCTGGGGTCACCGAGCCAGTTCTTGGGCAGCCAACGTCGCCCTTCCTAAACAGAACACCAGAGGTCGCCCGCGCCTGGCAGGAGCATCAACTTGGATTCGCTCGCCGTGCGGTGTGGAGTCCTCTCTCTGGCGCCACCGCCAAGTGTTTAATGTCAGGCCGGTGTGTAGCTTCCATGGGGCCAGTAAAGTGGGAACTCTGAGGGAACCGAGGAGCCGCGAAGCCACGTTAGCCCGTACACCTCTTTTTCATCATCTCTTAGGTTGCCTTCCAGCTCTCAGGACTCCCCAGAACCTGCCAAGTTTCATTCAAATCTCTGCTCTAGTCTGACTTAAAGTGAGGAACGACCGATAAGGGGTTGGAATCTGGTGAGGACTTTGAAATATCTATTACATCATTTGGGAAATAGAATGACTTCTCATCCTCGACTCTAGGGAAGAGGGTTGAACCAGAATTCACTGAATGCTTGCCATTCCTGGTAATGAGGTTGTGCGGGAGATTACTCTAATGACTCTTTTGTGTGGTCTTCCTGGTAGCCTCGGGGGTCTTTGTCATGATAAATCCTAGGCTCAAGCCCAGGTCTGAACAAAATCATGAACTGGAAGCCTCTTGGAACAAATTCTCAGGAACTAGAATTTTCAATCCACCTTGTTCCTCTGGTCAAGGAAGAAAGGAGATCAAATTAATCACGGATTTCCCAGTGTTCAGTACTATGCTCATGTGTTTGTTGAACCTCTCTGAACTCCCTACCAATTGTCCATGTTTTCTCTCCCAGAGGAATTTGAATTTTTAAGACGATTGATTGAAAATGGTAATGCTGGCTTGGCGCCTGTGGTTCAAGTGGCTAAGGTGCCAGCCACATACACCTAAGGTGGCGGGTTCAAATCCAGCCCAGGGCCCGCCAAACAACAATGACGGCTGCAACCAAAAAATAGCCGGGCGTTGTGGCGGGTGCCTGTGGTTCCAGCTACTTGGGAGGCTGAGA